TAATGTCGCTAAAATCATCAAAATACCGAATATCGGGAGGTACCGTTATATGGGGGCTATATGATAACTTGGACCTACATGGCCCATTTACGAACTTAACCTGCCTATTGACAAAATATACATGTTTGCAAAATTTTAGCCTTCTATCTCAATTTGTTCGAAAGATAGCGTGATTACAACAGACGGACAGACAGCCATGCTAAATCGTCTTAGAATTTTACGCTGATCAGGAATATAAATACTTTGTTGGGTCTGACATGAGTATTTCGAGGAGTTACAAAAGGATTGACAAAATTAATATACCCTCCATAATATGGTGGAGGGTATAAAAACGAAATGGTAATGCTAACTTGCCGACAATGAGGACAACTGTGACAGTTGGTGTTTAACCCGTTTAAATTTCCACATTTAAAGTTTGAGCAGTTCGCTTTAGTTTAGCTTTTTATGACATTTTAAATAACGTTATGAAAAATCCATTCAGGCCATCGTCTCTGGAAGAGCGAGCCATCGCCATGACTCAATCATATCACCACCACCAAAGTGGTGAGGGGAAAAATATGAAAACTCAGGGGAAAATTCATTATAAAAACCAAACGTGTTCAAGACTCAATAAAATTGGTACTTAAATGTCAGTTTATGGTCGATACGACGATGGATGATACGAAACAGCTAGACATACACACACACACAGCAAGATCTTGGCCTATACGCCATCAGCAAGGCAACCTGGCCTGCTCGACGAGCTTCTTGCATTTATTGCCTTGTTTTGTTATTTACGTAAGAACCAGACGAGGCGTACCACATTAGCTCAAGCTTGGCAGGCTAAAAGCCCGACTTATTCGAAAAGTTTATTACCTAAATGACACCATAGCTCCGTAACTAAGTATGTCATCGAATTGGCTTGCAGACGTCACAAAAAAAAAAAATCAGGTAGAAATTAATTCAATTTGATATGAGTTTTGAAAATATTCGTTTTTAATATCCATGATTTTCGAATAAAAATCATCTAAACGTTTTTAATAGCCGTGAAAACGTTTCCAATATTTTTTTACTCAATTTTTGGATAATTAGAATCAAATATATTTGGTTTTTTGGGATAACAAGGATACAATGATATAAAAAAAATATTGTAAAAGTCTTAACCACGTTATCCATTTGTATTAGAAATATTATCCACGTTATTAAATAAGGAAAAATTTTACCTACGTTTTTTTTTAAACTGTTAAAATGTTATCCACCTTATCCAAATATGGCAAAAATATTATCCAAATGTAGTGAAAACATTTTCCATGCTACCCATAACAGTTGAAATTATTATCCACTTTATCCAAATATGGTTAAACTATTATCCAAATGTAGTAAAAATGTGGTTCATGTATAAAAAACAGTTAAAAATTGTATCTAGTTTATCCAAATGTAGCAAAAATGTTATCCACGTTGTCCGAATATAGTCAAAATATTATCCACATTATCCAAATATAGTAAAAATGTTATCCGCATTATCCGAATATTATCATTTATATTATCCCCGTATTCCAAATACAGTAAAAATATTATCCACGTTATATTAAAAATACTATCCACGTTATCCGAATATAGTAAAAATAGTATCCACGTTATCCAAATGTATTAAAATTTTTATCCGCGTTATCTAAATGTGGTCAAAATATTATCCACGTTATCCAAATATAGTAGAATTCTTATGCGCGTTATCTAAATGTGGTCAAAATATTATCCACGTTATCCAAATATAGTAAAAAAGTTATCCAGGTTGTCTAAATGTGGTCAAAATGTTATCAAAGTTTTCCAAATATAGTAAAAATATTATCCACGTTATCCGAATATGGTAAAAATATTATCCACGTTATCCGGATATATTTAAAATATTATCCACGTTATCCAAATATAATAAAAATTTTATCCACTTTATCCGAATGTAGTAAAAATATTATCCACGTTATCCGAATATAAAAAAATATTATCCATCTTATCCGAATGTAATAAAATATTATCCACGTAATCCAAATATAATAAAAATATTATCCACGTTATCCGAATATAAAAAAATATTATCCATCTTATCCGAATGTAGTAAAATATTATCCACGTAATCCAAATAAAATAAAAATATTATCCACCTTATCCGAATGTTCTAAAAATATTATCCACGTTATCCAAATGTAATAAAAATATTACCCACCTTATCCGAATGTGGTCAAAATATTATCCACGTTATCCGAATATAGTAAAAATAGTATCCACGTTATCCAAATATAGTAGAATTTTTATCCGCGTTATCTAAATGTGGTCAAAATATTATCCACGTTATCCAAATATTTTAAAAATGTTATCCAGTTTGTCTAAATGTTGCCAAAATGTTATCCAGTTTGTCTAAATGTTGCCAAAATGTTATCAACGTTATCCAAATATAGTAAAAATAATATCCACGTTATCCTAATATAGTAAAAATATTATCCACGTTATCCGAATAGGGTAAAAATGTTTTCCACGTTATCCAAATATATTAAAAATATTATCCACGTTATCCAAGTATAATAAAAATATTATCCACTTTATCCGAATGTAGTAAAAATATTATCCACTTCATTCTAATATAGTAAAAATATTATCCACCTTATCCGAATGTGTTCAAAATATTATCCGTGTTATCCAGGTTGTCTGAATGTGGTCAGAATGTTATCAACGTTATCCAAATATATTCCAAATATTATCCACGTTATCCTAATATAGTAAAAATATTATCCACGTTATCCGAATATGGTAAAAATGTTATCCACGTTATCCGAGTTGGAATAAATATATTCCAAATATTATCCACGTAATCCTAATATAGTAAAAATATTATCCACGTTATCCGGATATGGTAAAAACGTTATCCACTTCATCCAAATATAGTCAAAGTATTATTCACGTTATCCGAATATAGTAAAAATAATATCCGCATTATCCGAATAAAGTTAATATATTATCCACATTATCCAAATATAGTAAAAATATCATCCACGTTATCCGAAAATTATCCCCGTTGTCCAAATATAGTAAAAATGTTATCCACGTTATCCGAATATTATCCACGTTATCCAAATATAGTAAAAATATTATCCACGTTATCCGAATAGAGTAAAAATGTTATCCACGTTATCCAAATATACTAAAAATATTATCCACGTTATCCGCATTGAGTAAAAATGTTATCCACGTTATACAAATATAGTGAAATTATTATCCTCGTTGTCCAAATATAGTATAAATATTATCCACGTTATCCCAATATTATCCGTTATATTATCCACGTTAAATATTATCCTCTTTATTCCAATATTATCCGTTATATTATCCATGTTATCCAAATATAGTAAAACTATTATCTACTTATGCAAATATAGTAAAAAGTGTTATCCGCGTTATCCGAATATAATAAAAATATTATCCACGTTATTTAAATGTTGTCAAAATGTTATCCACGTTATCCTAATATAGTAAAAATATTATCCACGTTATCCGATGAAGTAAAAGTATTATCCCGTTATCCGAATTAGTAAAAATATTATCCACCCTATCCGAATATGGCCAAAATGTAATACACATTATCCAAATAGCGTAACAATATTATTCACATTATCGAAATACAAAAAAAAGGAAAAATATGGAAGAACTTTTATCCACGTTATTGAAATCAGGTAAAAATATTATTTGCTTGCACCAAAATAAATACAAATACTATCAAAATTAAAAGAGATTAAATATTATCCATAAAATATGAAAGCCTTATCAACAATGTAAAAATTAAAATATTATCCATATTATCCGAAAAAATGTAAAATAGTATCTCCATTTAAAATTTATCCACCTTATCCGAAACAATACTATTATCCACGTTGTTAAAGAAAGGAAGAAAGGTAGGTCTGGTCTTCGACCTTCGAAGACCTCATACTAGTGTTCTATTCATAAAATACATTTTGAAAGTCTGCTATTTACAAAGCACATATTTGAAAGGCTTCCATCCATACAAATCCCTTATAATGTCCTTTATCTGTAGAAGACCGAAAGAAAGCTTTATATCGTTTCACGATCTGTCTATGGATTATTTATAGGGATGACCCATCTTAGGTCTTCCTTTCTATAAAACACGGAATTTATTTTCTAGAAGAGAAGAAGTCCTTTGGAAGATCTCTCGGAGATTATATTTATATATGTATCTGCAGGGAGACTTGTCGCATGGCCCCAATCCATGCAGTAAACCAAACTGGGAAAGCTCGGTTTGACTTCAGTATGCAGGTTGCGAAAATACTTTCAATTTCGGATGAGATCTCATTCGGACTTCCGAATGAATATTATATGAGTGGTTAAAATCCTAATGATTATCTATTTTTTGTCCTCTTTCCGACTTGACTCTGAGGGGCATTTATGAAAAAATCTGAAAGAATATAAGATTTGTCGAATCGATGCCTGATAGATTTCTGAAGTAATATCTGACGGAATTCGGATTTATATGCCAAATCTCGTAAACTAAATCTGTATAAGTAGAAGAGTTGTCGGACCGATGCCGGATAGATTTCTGAAGTGATATCTCATGGAATTCTGATTTATTTACCAATTGTCGTAATTCGATTTGCTAAGTAGGATATATATCAAAATGCATATACTATTTACAGCCACTTTTTAGTAGTAGAATTTCATGTTATATAAAAATATGCCCACAAATTAGAAAGGTCCGCATTTTTGTTAAGGCCAAAAGATTATCTTATTTCTATATAAGGCCCCGAATAGGTCTTCTATATAAGGAAAATCTACAACGGATAGGTGGAAGGACTTAAATGGATTTTCTATTTACAGAAGTCCTTTTAGGTGGCATCTAGAGAAATAAAGCATTTATTTGGCCTTTTACAGAACGATTTTTATAGGATTTTTGTCCATAGATCATCTATAAAGTGCTTCTATATTCCAAAGACCTGTGAAAACATGTGACCCTTCGAATTTCAAGATTTTATTTAAGTGAGATAAAAAACAACAACAAATTTCCGAATCGTATTAATAAAAACCCACCCCACCCCACTATTTGTTTATGACATCCAAAAGCATTTGAATGCAAACGGAGCTTCGTTCATGGTCATTCTCATCGTAGGCCTGCAACTCGAAGACAGCCTTGTGCAGCCCCGATAACCTTTCGCCCTCAATGTCAACGGCCAGTTGCAAATGGAAGGGAATGTGATGATAGGTCACCTACAACACAAGCCACAATTAATCGCCTCTTTCTTCCTTACTTTCTTCCGCACTTACCCCCTTGTGATTGATGCACTTGCGATCCTCTTCGTCGACAAACTGACCCCAGGCTTTATACCAAAATCCATCCTCTTCGAACAGAGTTGAACAGAAATCCTTTTGGACCATTGAAAACACCGTCGGTTGCCAACCACCTCGAGCCGATTTTAGCAAATCGGCTTTAAAATCTACACGATCGGTAGGTTCCACATCCCATATCACTTCGACATAGCCCTCTATACTGGCACTTTCTTCCAGGATCTCGACTTCTAAATTGGACATATCGAAGAGGCTGTCCAACCCCAAAACATCCGGCTTGTCATCACAATCGGAAAATATACCGGCATCTTCGGGAAGGAATATGTGTATGGTTCCATGTGATGAAGAGAAAATGTCACAAAGTATTAGTAAAACGAATATTTTCCAAAAATCTTGAATATATAGCGACATTTTTTTTCGGACACAGGTTTTACGAAATGACTGAAGTTTTGCAGTTCTACTAAGTGGGTTTTATATGGGTTTTGGTTGGGGTTCTGTGTTCCCACCAATGTGACAACATGTAATTTCCTTGTTTGTTATTGTTGTTTAGATTAGTTAATCGATTTTGAAAATTGGTTGTTTATTTTGTAATACGTTGTTGTTGAGTGAGTTAGTGTCATGCAACAGGCATAACTGAAATTTATGGTGTCGATGTGATCGACATTTTTTTTTTCGAGACCTTTTCATTATGGGATTATACATTTTTCCATCGCAAGGAATTGTTATGCAGTTATGATAATCAAAATCAAAACCCAAATCAAACAGCTATCGATTATTACTATTTTTTCAAAAAATTATCGACAACGATAAATATGGCAATTTTTTATTAAAAATATTAATTAATGGGATCATAATTTAATTTTCATTACTTGGTAATTTCTCGATATTTTTGAAATCGAAACTAAGAGTTATCGATTTTTAATATATTTTCCAAAAATTATCGATAATTATCGATAGATATATAAATTGATTTTTCTATCGCAAAGAATTTTTATGCAATCGTGATACTCAAAATTAAACATCAAACTAAAAAAATCAAATCCAACAGCTACCAAATATTTATAATTTTTCAAAAACTTATCGATAACGATAAATATTACAATTTTTGATTAATATTATTAATTAATTGGATTATAGTTCAATATTCATTGCGTAGGGATTTTTTAAAATTATTTCTCGATATTTTTGAGATCGAAAGTAAGGGTTATCGATTTTTAATACTTTTTCCAAAAATTATCGAAAAATATCCATTGCTGTATAAATCGATTTTTCTATCGCAATGAATTTTTTATGCAGTTATGATATTCAAAATTAAAAATCAAATCAAATAGATACCGATTTTTATTATTTTTAAAAAAATTTATCGATAACGATAAATATGACAATTTTTAATTATTATTATTAATTATGAGATTATAATTCAGTTTCCATTGCTTGGGTTGTTTTTAATTTTTTCTCAAATTTTTTTGAAATCGAAACTAAGAGTTATCGGTTTTATATATATATATATATATATATATATATATATATATATATATATATATATATATATATATATATATATATATATATATATATATTTTTTTTTTTTTTTTTTTTTTTTTTTTCAAAAAATTATCGATGAAAAAACTGCGCCCAACTTCAAACTGCTGTCATTTCTAAGCCACTCGTCCGACAGCTGTTAAAACTATTCCAGTGATAGCTGATTATATTGTATACAAGCGTACGCTAAGCATTTTGGTGAGAATTTTCCAGCAGAAAAATTTTTCGTGATGGAATTCAAGCGTGATAGTCTGATTTATTTATATTTGGCTTGAAAACCACAAGTGGCTATCGTTAGAACACTCCAGCATTTAAATGTGAATAAATCTGTAGTGTTTCGTACCATCGCTCGTTACCGTGATACTGGTAGCATAGCCCGACGTCAGGGAAGTAGACGGAGGAAACAGCAACATCAGCAGAATAGGTTCGAAAAGTAAAGAAGCGACTTGATCGAAACGCGCGTCGCAGTGACTGAAAAATGGCTCGTGAGCTGAACATATCGCAATATTCCATTCGCCAAATATTGAAAAATGAGCTCGGGGAGATTCCAAAACGTACAAGAACACACAAGAAAAACACAGCAATAGACTCAAAAGAGCTAAAGAGTTGCTTCGCTTGGCCGAATTTGGTTTTCGCCGATGAGAAAACATTCGCCACAATTGTCCAGCAGTTGGTAAACAAACAAAATGATCGTGTTTACTTTCCCAAGGAGGTCAGCTGAAAATGTGCACTTTCGGTTGGCCACCAGAACTCAAGCGCCGGTCATGGTGTTAGTGTGGGCCGCCATAACAGCCGATTGTCACTCTCTGCTTGTATTAATCGACCGTGGCATTAAAATAAATGCGGAATATTATCGTGAATATATTCTTGAGGGTATGAGAAAGCCTTGGGCACACAAACATTTTGGCCTCCGACATTGGACATTCCAACAGGACTCAGGACCATCGCACTCAGCTCGCGCCACCCAAGAATGGTTACAAAATGATGTCCCTCGCTTCATTTCCAGCGCACAATGGCCAACAAAATCTCCGGATACCAATCCGTTGGACTATTGAGTTGGAAAGTAAGGTTGACACTAAAAAATACCAAAGTGTTGATGACCTCAAGCAAGCGCTTCGCCGGGAATGGGCCAAAATGCCGCAGATCAACATTCGGGCAGCGTGTGACGGTTTCATTGGCCGTTTGTAGGCCATAATTCGTGGCAAAGATGACCAATTCGAGCAAATCTCAACTTATTCTAAAATTTGATATTTTCGACATTTTTTACTTTCGTTCAATAAAATTAAAAAAAAATGTAAAAATTATGGCGTTTGACTTTGTTGCAGTATTTTTTATCTCACCCTATATTCGTTCTCTCTGAAACTAAATTATAACTATTCTATAGCCAAAGGTTGATCTACTTCAAATAAATTCTTTTGTTATTGGAGCTCTACTAAATATGTTAAGTGGTGTAGGGTATCATATAATCGACCCTGTCCGACTTTTGACTTTTCCTTACTGGTCTTAAGTTTGTTCTAAATTTAGCTGGATTTTATTTATAAATATTTATTTGCAAGCCCTATATAAGATCATAACGTTATACTATAATATAACGTTATTCTATAATAATATTAAATTTTATTTCTTGTTTTCCTTTTTTTTTACAGGTACCTTATTTTGGGTTTAAAATTTTCTTCCCCAAACAAACAATTGCAGTAGCTGTTAAAAAATATCGATAAGTATTAGAAAACTTGAGATAATTAACAATATCATATTATGAATCCCAACACAATTTCTTTTAGGTAGCAATAATCCTAATTTTTGAGAATAATTGTTTTTATTTTATTTTATTTATTTATTTTTTTATTTATTTATGTATTTATTTATTTATTTATTTTTTTTTTTTTGAGGGCAAACATTTTCGTAACCCAGCTCATAATTCCATTACCATTAGGGGGAATATTTGAAACAATTCTTCCATCTATTATATGATAACTGCGTACTTATTATTCCGAAAAATATTTACTAAAAACCTTTTTGTTGTCTAACTGAGAACCGCTATATTTTCTACACATCCCAAGATGACTGGCTAAAATAAACTCAAATCTGTTCCCATAATGTTATATTTATCAAAAATTATTGAAATAAATTTTATGATGTTTTTATCTAAAATTACCATTCACCCAGAACCCAAAATCATAACCCAAAAACGCTATTTTCAACATCCACACACATACGCCTACCTTCACATTCACGTCATCATAGTTATGAACTAATTATCGTTAAAACTTAAACAATTTTGACAACCGTTATTCCTTTTTATTATAATTACCCTGATAAATAGACCCGTTATTCCTTCTCTACTTGGGTTTTTGGCAACAAAAAATGGGAGACTCCCCATCTCTCGCTGTCTCTCTCTCTTTCGACCCACCTACCAAATTCGGTGAAACTTCACAAAACAAGATAACATTTCAAATTAACATGTATCCCCCCCCCACCAAAAAACATAATCATTAAATTTTATTTCATTTCATTTGGAAACGGCAGAGGTGGGAGTAGGAAAACACACGCACACATTAGTTTTATTTAAAACAGAAATTGATATACCTTACCCAAAATAAACACACACAGCCATGGATACCACAACATTGACAAGAATTGTGGTAATTTTTCGTTTGTTCCGCAAACATGAACATTTGGCAAAATATTTACAAATTTGTAAAGCAAATATGGGTCATGTTGGGATGTTGAATTTGGGTCGAAGGCGGGTTTTGATGGACAGGAGTATTTAGTGCATAACTCTTGGGTACAAATAGAGTCTAAAGTGTCGAGATATTATTTTTGAAGAATGGTTTAGTTTGAAGGTTCTTGGTTCTGGGGCGATATTTCATTTATATAATATTCGAGTAAGAGATATAAATAAAAAATATAAAAGATATATAAAAATAAATAAAATATAAAAAATAAATTATTGAATTATTCCAGGAGCTTATAAAAGTTGGGTCGTTTTGAAAGTCTACAAAGTCCCTCTTTAACACTTAAGGATATTTTCGGATTAAAAATTTCTTCGAATCCGTTCTTTTTATGTGAAAGTCAGCTTCGGCATTATTATTTATAACAATGCGAGGATTATTTTATTCAAAAATGTTAATTCTCAGTCGAGTCACCAAAGGGGTGTTTTTGGTCATTTTTTGTCAAAATATGGTTCCAAAATCCACTTCAACTTGATCGTAGCAAGACAAAATATTCTACCAAATTATTTTTCATAAAATTCTACAATAGGATCTACACAGTATAAATCTTACCTAAAAGCCAGAAATTCATAAACACACATTTTAGGGTTAAAGCCATGCTCACAAATCATCATTTTAGAAGGATGACGTCAAAGATAAAAATATTCTTCATCAAATTTCACTATTAGTCACCAAAGAGAAGGAAATTCTACTCACATTATATGTGAAGGAAACATTTGCATCAATGTTGCCAAAAATCGCGAAAATATTCTCTTATTATATCCTCGGTCATATGACTAGAGAAGAGGGTATATATCATTTGATACGGCCAAAACGTGCCTCCCTAGATCTCTTTCGACCAAATCCGTTTTAGGGCATTAGAAGTCGATCTAGCGATGTCCGACTACCGTTTGTTTGGCAGTCTGGAGCGCACAATAACTCTCGAAGGGTTTGGTCCAAACTTGATACATCGTAATGTTATTATCAAACTTAGTTCCAGTTCGGAGATGGACAATATCGCTTCAATCCTTTCTTCACACATAAGGTCGAAATTTTCAAAAAAAAAAAATATTTTACTGCACAGAAAGAGAAAGGATGACCCTATTTTCCTCCAACTTCCTAGTATTTGCATCAGTGCTAGGTCAGGTGTGAAAATGGACAATATCGGTCCGCTCTATCAAGTACCTTCCCCACAAAGGGTCA